CCCAGGATGGTGTTTCCAGAAGCTCTTTTTCCTGCTCCAGTTTTTCCAACAATAATGAGTCTCAGGTCTGTCAGCTGTGTAGAACCTGTAAGTAATTTATAAAACATTAGTCTCAGTAATTACAGTCATTTGACAAAAAGCCTTGATACATGTTTAGCTTTCACTGTGGAAGATGTTCTGGTTAAACTGTAATAATAAATATGCTTTTTTTTTATAAAAATTGGAGAGCAATGTTCAGTAACTGTGACTCCTAAGATGCATGAAAGAGGCATCCAATCACTGAGCTTAAAATTCTGTCAGGTGAGTCGCTAACAAAGAGCAAGAACTAAAGATTACCCTGAGGAGAAAACTGAAGACACAAACTGCAGCTTAAATCAGTTTATGGTGCTGTGTTTTTTAACAGCTAGTGATGGGAAAAAAAATTGAGAAAGTCACTGTACAAAGAGGGTATGCAACAATTGATACAATCAGTATGAGACACCTGCTGGCCAAATCCTCGATGCTCTATTTGCATGAGTGGTGTCGACTATATCTGAGACCATGACGAAAAACTAAAATAGGAATAGGCATAAACATTTCATGGAATCAGCTTCCTCTTTCAGTTCACAGCAACTCAATATATGTTTATGAATAAAATGTTTTAGCTGGCAAGTAAAGACTAAAACGTTTGCCTAAGGGCTCCATCATTTAGGCCTAAAGATATTCACCTCACAGGACAAACCTGCATTACCTCTGACCTTATTTCTTTGTACAGACTATCACAAACCTTCGTGTTGATTTTGGCAGTGAACAGTTTGACCACATAATGTGACCAGCACAAGCAGGATGCAACCTGGGATCCAAGCTTTTCCTCGGAACATCTCTGTCACTGTCATCTGTGGCAAAAACTTCACATGAAAAAGACAATCAAAAGAAAATCTATCACAGCAGCAAGTTGCTAAACATTACAATTGGAACAGAATATAAAATAATTAGTGTACTAAATTAGTTATATGCTATCTATTGCCAAGGTAAGCAAAGCATTCTTCTCATGTTAAACCCTATTTTGAACGTACCTGTGCAAGTGTCTCCTCAGCTGTAGCCTATGTTGACAGAGGAAGAGCCTCTTTAATAACACAACAGAGCACACCCTCAACAAAGATACTGAACATGTGATTCAACATCATCATACTCGGTTTCGTTTTTCTGAAAACAAGTGCATACAGTAAAGGCCCACTGACCAGGATAAAAGATGAGGGAGCCATCCACTGGTGGCAGAAGAAAATAGCACAAGGTTCCACTTACATCAGCACATGTGCTGCCAGCATCTAACCAGATAACATAACTAATAAACAACATAGATACATGGGCTAAATAAGTGCAAGTCAAGCCAGAGGTAAAATACTCAATGTGTGATATGTAATAAAGAGCAACTGGGTTTTTTAGATTCATAATCACTGTTCTGAAAATTATGGAAATGTTATGTTTTGTGATGTAAAATGTGGCAAGTTGTTGACTTTAATATTAAAGTGGGACACAGATTTTTAGCAAAGTAGAAGAATAAATGATTTCATTTTGGTTTCATGTGTGTAGCCTACAGTAAAACTGACACATATTACAAATTACAATAACTCTTTCTGTCAAAAAAATGAACTGAATGTTTTATTTGACACCAATGATGGTGTTTCCTTAATGAGATCATTCTTAGTGAAAGACTTTAATTTGTAGAATATTAGACCTTTAGAAAACTGCCCTTGACATAGAAAAAGGCCATCAAAACTGCAGCATAAAATGATTTGAACTTCAGACTTTATTGAAAAAGTATTTCCCAATAACAAACAAAGCATGCAGGTTAATTTCTATGGCGAAGATTTACTGGAGAGGTTTCTGAGTAGGGGCTATAGTATCCATACTTGTTTCAGTGTCAAAGATTATTTATTGCTTCTCCCATATTACTTTTTGTCACAGTTTATTGTGACACAACTAAAAAAACATATCTAAAGTGCAATTGTAGCCTTGAGTGAGTCCAGCTGCTCCAGCAAGTGTGAGAAGATAAGAGGAGGTAAATGCTCCTGCACCTAAAAGTCCCAGAGAAACAAGAGCTATGTTTTTACACCAAGCAATCTTTTTCTCCTCCTCTCTGATCTTCTCTTCCTCTTCCTTCTTTCTTCGCTTTGCCGCCTCCTCCATTTTTTTCCTTTCTTCCTCAAGTTTCCTCTGGGCTTTCTCATACATCTCATTGGTGTAGTAACTCTCTCCATTGAACTTCAGCATGTTCTCTATCTTATGTAGAAGCTCCCTGACCTGTTTTCTGTTTTGTTTCTGGGAATTGTTGAATGCATGGTATCTTCTTCCACACTGATTTACCAGTCTCTTTAGGTCTTTGCTCTCTGTCAGATAGTCTTCCACAGATTTACCCTCCAACAAATCAGCATGTGTAAACAGGACTATGATATACATGGAAGCATCTGAGCCAAAATTATCCTCGACCCACTTCACAGCTGCCCTCTCCTCCTCTGTGAATCTTGACTTCAGACTGATCACTAACAGAAAAGCATGGGTTCCAGGAACCGACTGTCTAATACAGTCCTCAATGTTTGTTTTCACTTCTGCTTGTGTTTTGTTTGTGTCAAACAATCCTGGAGAGTCGATGACAACAATCTTCCTGTCCCCATGTTTTACCTCTTCTCTTTGGCAGCCTTGAGTCACAGACGCAGGAGACATGCTCTCTTTAAAGGCATCTTGACGGCCCAGGATGGTGTTTCCAGAAGCACTCTTTCCTGCTCCAGTTTTTCCAACAATAATGAGTCTCAGTTCTCTCAACTGTGTAGAACCTGTAAGTAATTTATAAAACATTAGTCTCAGTAATTACAGTCATTTGACAAAAAGCCTTGATACATGATTAGCTTTCACTGTGGAAGATGTTCTGGTTGAACTGTAATAATAAATATGCTTTTTTTTAATAAAAATTGGAGAGCAATGTTCAGTAACTGTGACTCCTAAGATGCATGAAAGAGGCATCCAATCACTGAGCTTAAAATTCTGTCAGGTGAGTCGCTAACAAAGAGCAAGAACTAAAGATTACCCTGAGGAGAAAACTGAGGACACAAACTGCAGCTTAAATCAGTTTATGGTGCTGTGTTTTTTAACAGCTAGTGATGGGAAAAAAAATTGAGAAAGTCACTGTACAAAGAGGGTATGCAACAATTGATACAATCAGTATGAGACACCTGCTGGCCAAATCCTCGATGCTCTATTTGCATGAGTGGTGTCGACTACATCTGAGACCATGACGAAAAACTAAAATAGGAATAGGCATAAACATTTCATGGAATCAGCTTCCTCTTTCAGTTCACAGCAACTCAATATATGTTTATGAATAAAATGTTTTAGCTGGCAAGTAAAGACTAAAACGTTTGCCTAAGGGCTCCATCATTTAGGCCTAAAGATATTCACCTCACAGGACAAATCTGCATTACCTCTGACCTTATTTCTTTGTACAGACTATCACAAACCTTCGTGTTGATTTTGGCAGTGAACAGTTTGACCACATAATGTGACCAGCACAAGCAGGATGCAACCTGGGATCCAAGCTTTTCCTCGGAACATCTCTGTCACTGTCATCTGTGGCAAAAACTTCACATGAAAAAGACAATCAAAAGAAAATCTATCACAGCAGCAAGTTGCTAAACATTACAATTGGAACAGAATATAAAATAATTAGTGTACTAAATTAGTTATATGCTATCTATTGCCAAGGTAAGCAAAGCATTCTTCTCATGTTAAACCCTATTTTGAACATACCTGGGCAAGTGTCTCCTCAGCTGTAGCCTATGTTGACAGAGGAAGAGCCTCTTTAATAACACAACAGAGCACACCCTCAACAAAGATACTGAACATGTGATTCAACATCATCATACTCGGTTTCGTTTTTCTGAAAACAAGTGCATACAGTAAACGCCCACTGACCAGGATAAAAGATGAGGGAGCCATCCACTGGTGGCAGAAGAAAATAGCACAAGGTTCCACTTACATCAGCACATGTGCTGCCAGCATCTAACCAGATAACATAACTAATAAACAACATAGATACATGGGCTAAATAAGTGCAAGTCAAGCCAGAGGTAAAATACTCAATGTGTGATATGTAATAAAGAGCAACTGGGCTTTTTAGATTCATAATCACTGTTCTAAAAATTATGGAAATGTTACGTTTTGTGATGTAAAATGTGGCAAGTTGTTGACTTTAATATTAAAGTGGGACACAGATTTTTAGCTAAGTAAGAGAATAAATGATTTTTTTTAAAGATAATGGATAGCTGATGGATGGAGAGAGGACAGCAAAGTAACGGAGAATGAAAAGAGGAACAAAAACACTCCCCTATTTTTTCTGGCACTCTGTTCAACATGGTCCTCTTTTGCTTTTCCTTTCCTCTTCAAACCTCTTCTTGTCTCCTCGGTGCATGATCTCATGGTGCAGTGTTTTTCTCTGCAGTCTTCCACCAGTGCCTTCCCTGTGGACCACTGAAAGAACTCTGATTAGAATATTCACTTTCACAGGGCACGTCTTTGTCTCTTGTGCGTGTTCTAAATTTGGAAAAATAAAAATATATACACAGACTTGATCAAACTCCAGCATGCATTTCTGTCCCCTGTCTTCTCTCTAGTGGTTATGATGAAGCATAGCAGTGAGGACAAACAACCAAACCAGTCAAATTTTCCTTGTAGCATCTCTGCAAATGTAATCTCTTCAAAAGTATTAAAAGACAAAAGACAGATTAAAAATGTTTAATATAATAATAAAATGTTGTCAATGATCTATTAAACAGTATAATTAGATTAAAGATGCCATAAATTTTTTGATCATATAACAAGGAAATGCCAGGAAAGCATTCTTCTTACATTACAGTAATATAAATAACCTGCTTCCTCAGCTGTGTGATATGTTGGCAGGAGGGGAAATTCTTTTTACACAAAACTCTGCACACGCTACTGTCCAACAACAATTATTCTATACTATTTAGCTGTAAGGTTTCCCTACCTATAGAGCACTTTCACCCGCTGAGCAGGCCAAACTAGTGCACACAAGATGAGGCAGCCACCCAGTGGCATCAGGTGTCTGTATTTACTTTTGTGCACTAGTTCACTTGTTCCATCACCTTCATTTTGTTTGTCATCTAAATGTGTGACAAGCTGTCCGCCTCCTTCCGTCCTTATCACCGTAGCATGATTTCCACCCACACTGTGAATTAGTGTCTGATTGGACTGCTGACAAACACCTCTCTCCATAAACTAGGTGTAGGCAGGCTAACATTTCCACCTCATGTCTGGACTCTGAGAGAGTAAGGAAATGATGTGATGACAGCGGTAGTAAATGTGATCCCACCATAGATCAGAAATCATAGAGAGCAGAAGAGGTGACAAGGTGTTTACCTATGTACTGGCAAACTTTGTCCCAGATGAGCTCTTTAGACATTTGAGTATCTCAGGGGGTTTTTGATGGCCGCATCGGTATCAATTCCATACAGAGGTCTTGACCTCAACAAAACAATGAAAACTCCTCAAAACATCAGTGAAATAGGAAGAAACTCATTTAGAAAAAGAGAGAGGTTGATTATTTTACAACTACAAACTCTAGACTTAGACCAGCTTGAACCAATAGAACAATATCTCCTTGGTGTTGAGATGAATCCTATTCATTTTTATGCAAGCTTTTTGTGTGGGCAACACACACACACACACACACACACACACACACACACACACAGAAAGTGTAAGAATAACAAATACATAATACAAAGCAATGCATATATTTGGTAGAATTAGTGACTGATAATTGTGAGCTGCATGGCGGTTCTTCCACTGAGGTACGAGGCTGAGTGGGAAACCAGCTTCACGTTTTGGTAGTCCATAGAAGCAAGCCTCTTATCCTATGTGTGTGTCTTTGTGTGTAGCAGCATCTGTGTCAGAGAAGCAGACAGAACAACAGGAACACACAGTATGTGACTTCTCCTCACGTGCAAACAGAGGTGCACGGAGCATCTATGTAGGGCTGTGCGTGTGTATGTGTGTGTGTGTGTTTGCGAGTGCAGTGATTGCTATAACAAAGACAAGCCGTCATTACACGTGCGATAACGTTGCTGGGACCACGCAGAGGTGAAAATGGCTGTATCTTCCTGCAATGTGAATCTCCTGGCACACGACAGCACACAGAAAGGGACGGCGCACTGCAGTGACAAAGAACATGAACGGACTGGCATTCAGCAGCATTAATTAAATGTTAAAATTTACCTAATCATTTCCATTAAAACACATTTTCACTTGCAAATTATACTTCTTTCTTTCACTGTGAATCCTTTGATGGCAGTACATTTTTCTAGATGTTATTCAAATCAAATCAGCTTCATTGGTATGAGCCATATGAATAATGTTGCCAAAGCAAAACATAACATTTTACACACTGAAGGACAGTGGTGGAAAGTAACTAATTACATTTACAAGTACTGCAATTAAGAACAATTTTGAGGTATCCCTCCTTCACATGAGCATTTTCATTATTTGTTACTTCATACTTGGACATCAGATGTCTGCTCGACTTAACTAACTGTTGACTAAACCCTTTCCACAAACTGTAGTAGTCCAACCGTAGCAAAACAGCTGTGACTATTTGAGGCCTGGTCTTTGGGTTTGTCCACATGTTGAAGCATTGTGCATGGCGCTCTAGTCAGAGTGAAACTACATACACAAAGAGCTTGGAGGCGGTGTCTTTCTTTGGCCTTTTCCAAAACCAAAACATACAACTATGGCAAAAGTGTGAGAAATGAATAAATTGTTTGGCAGCAACATAGTCAGTGTGTTTATCTGCTCTAACTTAAAGAGCCCATGACATGCTCATTTTGCTCATTTTCAGCCATTTAATGTTTAATCTTGGGAACGTCTACATTAGCTTGGCACCCCTCATGACTCCAAATAGTCTGTGATTATTTCAGAACAATAAAACCACCTCCTGCTCGCGGTGTTTTGTTGAAAGTGGACAGCAGGATGAACTGTACCAGCATTAATCAATATGAATTTCTCCTCCACAGATAGGTAAACAATGGTATATGTACCGATGACAAGAGATGTGTAACACTCTAAACAAAGTGCTACAAACAAAAACCTCATCACAATCTAGAAATACATGTTTTTCTTGGAACAAATTGCCATTTTAAAAACTGTGTGTGAACTGATGTTTAGGAGCAGCAGGAAACCATATTCACTGCTCATCTCTTGATTCACATAATAGAAAAAAGAGTCTTCGGTTGATTTGTAGTTTATTAGTTCACTGAATATTAAATTTCACTTGATATTAGCCTGATTCTTTTCTACATGGGTTTGTTTTTACTGTACACAAGAGGTTTTGTATGTGAGCCTGTCTGAATGGTTGGTACAGGCATTGTTCTGAGGCTTTCAAGCTTCATGACTCACATATGCACACCACACATATTTACAATGGTACCCAATTAGAACTCCATGAGCAAAGAAACTGCTCTTGCATCTTTTGTTTTGTTTTGTTTTGCTGTTGAGACAGAGAACTACACATGAGATCGCAGCAATGACACGATGTGATTATCAACCTGAATGCATAAAGGAGTCCTTTGGAGTCAGCATTATTATGACTATGAGACAGTGCGGGAAGAGTGTTAATCCATTTATCATTGCACATGAGAAATTGTATTTTGCTTGTTATAAATGGGCACACAGGGAAAAAAAACTTCTCATACGTAACGCATGTGAGGTTTGTTGTAAATAAAAAGCCTGAGTGGATTGTCCTGTGCTGCAAAAGTGATTGTCTTTGTGAACTCATAAGCAGTGTCCATGGAAATGCATACGATGCTGATAGCATGAGGAGCAAATGACCTAGTGTAGCACACACAGAAAAACATCCATCTTACTGACAACCATAAAGAGATCCGTGTGTGCAAGGGGTTTTGTTGTTAACAGTCTATTAAACTCTATTGCAATAATTTAAAAACAACTGTTTAGTAAATGGAATTCATATTTTGGTGTTAACCTGCTTCACTTTGAGAAATGAAGTATAAGCATGACCTTATGACCTTGTACATTTCAAATTAAGAATGAGCCAAAAGTCATGGACACGAATGCTAAACAACGTGTGTGAATTCATAGTTGATGAGGATGAAGGGTCCTCTGAGGGACTGCCTACTGGAAAAGTTCTTTACTGAGTAGTGTAGGATGGTAAGGTAGGCTATGCCAGCTTGAATCTGACTGTTTAGGATGTGTGGGATTCAGGCTGTGGACTTCTGGCAATCACGACTCCAGCATAACACACACATACACATACACATAGGAAGAGAAAAAAAGTGGGCGACAGAAAGAGTTGCCATCTAAGACATTTTGGAATATAGATTAACAGAAAGAGTTGCCATCTAAGAGCAACAGAAAGAGTTGCCATCTAAGACATTTTGGAATATAGATTATGCAACAGCCATACAATATTCAAATAATCAGGTTACTAACTCAGCATCCTCCCATAGATATTCAAAGCATGACTTAAAAATAAATCCCAATGAAGCATTCCACACAGTGTATTAAAGATGATTTTATTTAAATCATCAGTTCAACATAATGAATTATATTTAAATGACTATCAGTGCTTTATTCCTTGTTTTAGTCGCTCTGTACAGTCTGTTTGTCTATCACTGAATCGGACATTTCTCCAGTGCTTTGCTGGGCTTTCTTGTCGTATGTGGTCCGATGACTTGACGAAGGTCAGCGGTAAAACTCGGCCTACGTGCCAGCGGGTACATGGCGCCACATGGGTCATCGCGCCCCGGCGCCCGACCGCTCCTCTCCGCTGTGCGCATTGCCTGGTACGAACGAAGCGAGACTTTGCGGTGCCGAGACGGGCCAGTTTCAGTCGGAAGACCGCCTTGCTTTGCCAAAACCTCGAAAACTTTTTCTAGGTTAGTGCTGTGCTTTGCAGACGTTTCAAAATAAGCACAGTCATCACCGAGGGTTTGGAGCACCTCTGCCTTACTTATTTCTCTCTCGGACTCCAGGAGGTCCACCTTGTTGGCGCAGACGACCAGGGGAACCTGCGGCTGCGAACACTGCTCTGGCACAGAGGATTTGAGCTTGGATTTAGCAGCCACAATCTCCGTCCGCAGGGCGCACATCTCTTCGAAAGAGCTTCGGTCGTCTAGACTGAATACTAGAAGAAAAATGTCTCCTACAAGGAAAACAAAAACAAAAACAAACAAACAAAAACTATTACTACCTTCTCATAGTTGTATTTGGCATTGTTCAAAGGAGAGAATTAGGCATTTGTACATGCACCTATCACCTGTAAATATTTAGAGAGTAGTATAACAGGCAATACGCACCAGTGAGGATAGACAGCCTCCGCTTAGCGGGGAAGTCCCTTTCCCGGGATGCATCCAGAATGTCAATCTGGTAGGTTTCGCCACGGATACGAAACAGTTTCCTGAGGAAATCCTCGGAGGTGGGATTGTACTCCTCCACAAATCCGTCCCGAAGGTATCTTCTTAGGATGGAGGTCTTGCCTACCCGTGGCGCACCAAGAACCACGATGCGCTTACAGTTCTGTGGTTTGGTGGAGTAAAGGGGGTCGTGTCGGTGCTCTTGACCAGTATGGAGATGTCGGGTTTGACCGTGGAGAACCAGAGCTGCCAGCTGATTTAGCGGAGACGTCTTGCAGGCATGGTTGCTGTTGGCAGCCCCAGAGCGCGCATTCTTTTCTTGTTTCCACTGAGACGTGGCTACTTTAAGTATCCCCAAGCCTGCTTTAATCCCCGATGAACTCAGGTGCTGCGATGCGTTTTTGTAAGCCAGTAAAACTTTGGAGGACGCAGCGCACTGCCCGTCGGCATTAGCATAAAACTGGGGCCCATCTCTGCTGGAGCAGCTGAGCTGGTGCGGAACAGGGATGAAGGTGGTCTGCGCACGGGTCGAGGTGCCCATTTCCATCTTTTTAAGATGTTTTTGGGCCGTGGTTCCGTGCAACATGGGCAAAAATTTGTGATCTGATCTGCTGAAGCTTGTCTTTAGTGCTGTGGCTGATGTCAGGTGTCTTTATATAGGGTGTCCTCAACCCCGTGGTTCATCCGCGTCATGCTGATTGACAGAAGAGAAGTGTTCTTTAGCAGAACAGCTGTTTTGAGGAAACTATACAGGCCTACAACTGAGATTGCACTTTAGTGTAGACTACTTACATGATTTGCAATAGTAATAATGATTGTTATTATTATTATCGTACATTTTATATTGCAATTGTACATTTGTTTTTATAAATCCCAAATATCCGCAGCCTATAAAATACACTTTTGCTATAATATTTCTGCAGACTAATAAGAATGAAGAGATCTGTGCTCGATTTTGTTCTGTCCTCAATATGGTCTATACCCTAACTGCCTTGCTCCTGTTCCCCGGAAGAAAGACTTCAGTAGCTCGCTTTGAGGCGTCCGTTGCCATGGTTACGACTAGAGAACACATAGTCGACAGTGAGGGCAGCGCTAGCCTGAGTAGCACGACTAGTTAAACTACTGCGTTAACAAGACTTAAACCAAATGCGCCGCGGCGTGTCACTGAAGAAAGAGTTAAGACCTCCTAATAATTCAGGTGAGCGACAACCGCCTGTTTCCCCTTTACCTTCGTCTTTCCGGGTTCTCTAAGTACAGGCTAAGCGTTTGGGGTGACTTCTTCACCGGTTTAGCTGCACTGACTACAATGCATAGCCTCCTCTACTTCTGCAAGTATCGGCTACTAAACTTAACACTTAGGGCGGTGGAGTAGGTACACAGAGTGAAAGTAGCTATATTACAATTTTAAAATATCTTGCAACCAGACTTATAGCTTCCCAAATAAAGGTGAGCTACTAGCATCAGAATATAGCCTATTTAAGGGAGCAAAGACAAAATTGCACATCTGCAGAATGACACGATTTTGAATAATACAGTATATTATTGGATTATAATTACTAATACATTCGTGTGTGAATCACATTAGCTATTAGGTGGGAACATCAAAGTGTACAGGTATATGTTTATTATGTTTAGTTTTAATCACCTGAAGATTTAAAGTAGCCTCACTGGTAAATAAAGATATCTAATAGTAATATTGTAGTAAAAGGTACAATATTTCTCCTATGTAATAGTAGTGGAGTAGAAATATAAAGTAGCATAAAATGGAAACACAAATACCTCAGTACTCAGTACAATACTTGGGTAATTGTAGTCTGTTGTATTCCAGGTTTTAAGGTTGCAGCTGGAAGCAGTGACTCTATGCAGATGTGATGCCTGAGATTCAAGAGAGAAACATACAGAAAATAGGTCAACATCATCAGCTTTTGATAGATTCATTTGCAGTGACATAAAAGCATTGCTTTCCTCAAGGACCAAGGGCCTCTGAAATGTGAAACATTTACAAAAGCCAAGGACCAATAATTGTTGTGACCATGGAAACTATAATCAGGCAAATTAACTGAATTGCATAACCATGCCAGTGTTCAAGGATATATCTCTTTGTCCTTGCATGTGCGTATGTGTGTGAGCACAGATGTACTTTTTGCACAATGAAGTAGAACTTGCTTTTTTTAAAACCATTTAACATGTTAAAATCAGGGGGTTACTAATGAACTACATGATTCATTACCTTTTAAGTATTGCAGTGCCCAGTATGACATGAAATAGCATTACTCAAACACACTGTTGTCATTTTCTTTACTCTTCTCCAGAGAACAAGAAGCTAAAAACTCCTCTGGAGTTGTCCATCTTGGGTGATGACCAGTCCAAGAACACTACTTTTAAAGGCGATATCCAGGCTCTGGCCAGTTACCCAGAGGACCTCCACAAAGTAAAACTAACTTCATCCATATGCAGTATTTACCAAATAATTTTGTTCTTAAAATAAAACACAAATCATTGTGTTTGGTACTTTCACGTTAAAGCAGTTGTATGTGTAACTGAGTTTGTGATCATGACTCCAGGTCCATGTACCAAAGCCACCCAAGGGCCGTCAGAATCCAGCGCTGGTGGCTTGTGTGGGTAATACGGAGCCAGCTGATGAAGATAAAAGCGCTGCTCAGGGGGTTGTGGCTCATCCAGTGAGTCTGGACCCTGACTCTCAACCTCTGTATGACACAGGTGAGTTGTATTCCTTTGCCCTCATCAAAAATAAGCTTTTCTGCAGCTTGAAGGAGATGTTATCCTAGCCATGATATGCATCATTGATGCTAAAAAAAATTTTTTTCTGTTCCCATGCTTATCAGGACTGGAAGGGATTCGATTTGATGACCAAGGGATGGTTCTTCCACACAGCATCCTTGGTAGTTTAGAGGATTTCAGACATTTTCTGGAAGCCACTGAAGAAACAGAGGTAATTTCAGGGCTAATTTTATTTTCTCACATCCTTTAAACTAACAAATGCAAGAGAAACACTTTGACATTTCTATATTTGTCACCTCTGGTACTTTCTGTCCTTCCTCTGTCATCTAGTTGGTGAAGCGAATACTAACGTCTCGGAGAGATCCCTCAGCTGAGGCCTCAGAGAGCCATCACGCTGAGGCCGTAGAGAGTGGGGTCCCTTCAGGCCACAGAAACATCCAGAGTAATGCCCTGAAGCATTGGCATGTACATATGAAGCAGCGCATACGGCAGCAGGAGTTCTTATCTGGTGAGCTGAAAAACAGCAACCTGAACCAGAGAGACATGTGGATTTCTCATTTAAAGCAAATTAAAGAACGGGATATTTATTTAGTCAAATGACTTCCTGGGTCTGCATTTATGTCTTGCCTCTGTCCAGCTGTATCTTATCCATCTGTTGCTCTTTTCATCTAAATCGAGACTTGCTAGACAGACCAGTGGAAACCTTGCTGATGAACCAAGCTGACCGTTTCAGAGAAACTCAGGAGCAGAGGATATTTCTAAACCAAGTCCTGCCTCTCATCCACTCTGGATATGTATGACACATTTGCTTTCTCTGGTTTACTCTGTCTTTAGTCATCTGGCAAAGTATCTTATATTTGCCATAGTTCTCCAGTACCTAACATCTGAAATCATTTTTCCTGCTGTTTCTTCACTCATGTGTGTGTCATAGGGCTACCATGTAGGAGGTGAGTTTTGGAGTCTCCCCCAGCGTTACGGAGATGAAATGAGCGGTATCACAGCCACTCTGACTCAGACAGAGCAGGGCAGTCGGGAACCTGTCACATATGTAGGACGACCGAGCAGCATACTGCGGGAATCAGGTACACACAGACTGTACTCTGTGTCCCAGTTTTTCCCTTCAGCCTCCCTCTCGACCCTGTTCCTTCTGACTGCACATGAAACGTGTCCCAAATAAAATAATTGCTCTGTCTCATGGTTTAGCTTTTCTACTAATAAAAACACGCACAAGGGGCCGGGAATCAAAAGTACACATTTTGAAATAAACATTAGACAAAAATTTAATTGTAAAATGACCAAATGCAGCATAAACTGAAAATGGCTGCTTGTATCCAAACAACAAAAGAAAAAGAGAAGGCAGTGGCCCTCGCTCTGGGTGATTAAGCCAAACAAAGGGCAACTCTGACAGACACACTTCCATACATAGTGTACACTCATTTAGTCTCTTTGTAAGACCAAATGTTCCCTCTCTGTGCAAATGTGTTTTATTCTCTAGGAATCCTTTGTGATGAGTCTGTGCGTCCAGCCTCTAGGACTTGGGACCAAAGTACGTACCTGCAGCACCAGTACCAGGAGCTCAGGAAGGTCCTAAGGGATACTGACACTAAAAAGCCGGTAACACAAATTGTTTCAGATTTTTCAATATCATTATTGCATCAAAGTCCAGAATGTGAGACAATGTTTTTAAGCTTCCATTTATTACTGGGGATATATTATGTATTTTACGATATAAGCAGGTTATTATAACTAATCATTCTGACTGTCAGTCATAAATAAAAGAGATCCCACATGCAAGACACGATATTAATCTATATTTATCTATGTTAGATGTAAGTAAACATAAACACATGTCAAAGTTGGAGGTGTTCCTTTGGGCACACCAGTGACTGTCTGAGGCCACACCATTAGGTCTATAATGCACACTGGCCCCAGCATACCTTCCTCAGTCACTTACAACTACCAAGTCAGTTTTGGCAAATTAGCAACATAAAATTAGCTGATCCGAGTTCCTGCTTGTAATGTACGTACTGCAGCCGAGGTAGAAAGTAACTAAGTACACTAATTCAAGTACAATACTAAAGTAGTTGTACTTTGAATATTTCTGTTTTCTTTTTGTTTTTTTTTGGTCACATTATACACTGTAAAAAAAATTCTGTGTATTTTACGGTAAAATACTGGCAGCTGTGGTTGCCAGAATTTCACCGTAAAAAATATAGTGTCAATGTATATCACATAACGGTAAACTACTTTAAGATAACAGATATACTGTAAACCTGTTTACAGTTTAAGTCAGTAATCAACACAGTACAACCGTATGACATATTACGGTATTTTATTGTAAAGGTTGATTTTACGGTAAAATACTGGCAGCTGCGGTTGCCAGAATTTCACCGTAAAAAATATAGTTATTATGTAAAACTGTTTACAGTAAAATACTTTAATATAACATGTATAGTGTAAATCTATTTACAGTTTATGTCAGTAATAAACACAGTACAACCGTATGACATACTACGGTATTTTATTGTAAAGGGTGATTTTACGGTAAAATACTGGCAGCTGCGGTTGCCAGAATTTCACCGTAAAAAATACAGTGTCAATGTATAACACATTACGGTATATGCATTTGTCAAATGTAATTTTCACAGCTAAGAACTGTTACTTAATTTACGTTAAATTTATATCAAAAACAGACAGATTTGTAAACCTAAAAACAACAGCTATTAAGTAAAATTTTGATTTTACAGAAAATTACCGGCAGCTGTGGTTACCAGAATTTCGCTGAAAAAAAATACAGTATAACCCATAAAATATTATAATTGGTTGACATAAATTTTACAGTCACTAGTTTTTATGAATACATTTTAAATGACTAATAAAATCCACTGTAAACTGCTTACAGGATATCAATAATAAACAGTTTTTGCATTTACACATCTGTGATCCAATAAATGATACTGTATACTCCAAAGTTGGGTTACAATTGAAAAAGAGGTTCTGTGTGCATCTTAAATATAATATATATTTGTAGCATATTAGATGAATATTTACACAGGCATCACATAAAATTATGGTCAGTAGCAGTATTATTAACCAAACCTGTACCGTACTTTTAATATTTTGTTCATGTAGAAATAAAGGTATGTATACGCTAAATGGTGAAAGGTTTTGTACCGTTAATTTAAATGTACACATACAATAAATCTGTTGTTTGGACTAAGTAATACCGTTAACTTTAGGGTAGATACTTGCTTGTAACATAATGGAATTTTCCTATTAATTTCACAAAGATTCAGTATTTTTACAGAAAAAAATAATCATTTCTATATATTATGGCAGTAAAAAATATAGTTATCTACTGTTTATTGATTAATAGTAATACAATGTGTAAATTACAGTAATACAATGTTTTACTTTTAACAGTCTTTTACTGTTGCTATTTCACAGTATTTTACTGTAATTTTTACGAACATTTTTTACAGTGTACGTCAACTTCACATTTAGTGGTAAATATTGTACTTTTTATTCCACTATATTTATTTAATAACTTTACTTGTTGTTTTTCAGAACTAGATTAACAGTACATAATACAGTATAATTGTGAGACTTTATTGATCCCAGTGGGAATTTTACAGATACCCAGCAGCATGTAAAGTAATTTTAAATTATAAGCATCTAAAACAGTTCAAATTAGCTCCATCTTTACCAGCCGCAACATTAAAGTGATAAACATAATAATTCACCAATAATTATATTACAATAATGTAATATAAAAAACTGTGAAATGTGGTATTCTGTATATTCTGTATTTTTAGTTTTGATACTTAAACTATATTTTGATGCTACTATGTTTTGTAATTTTAGTAACGAGTATTGTTACTCTGTGGTATTTGTACTTTTACCTAAGTAAATGATCTGAAAGCTTTTTCCACCATGAGTACCTATGTGCATACAGATGACTGTCACTGGATTACTTTGATACTGAATAAAACCTAAAAATGAGGATTATCAGCCAAGTTCATATCTTTGCTCCAAGCTACAATAACTAACATTCCATTGTTTTCATAAATAGCAGCATGTACATGTCCCCATTTGTTGTTTTCTATAAAAGTAAACAACAACCTAATTGTATGTGCACAGCACAGATCTTAATTGTTCATCTTTCATTTCAGCACAAACAACATCTTTATTGGACCACACGTCGTCCAACCACACAGGCCACTAAAGCTGCTCACACCCTCAGGACACTCTGTCTCTTGCTCTGAAGCTGCTAGCTGCTCATAATCAGTCTCTTCCCAAATAGCCAGTGATCATCCAAGCCTTGGGCACACTGTGCTGAATTTTCTGTACAGAGAACAAACTACAGTACACAGACAGGCACATGTACTCTCATACACGCCAACACAAATGCACATAAGAACGCACACAGGCATAAGCACACATATATGCACACACACAATAGTTCACATACTTTTATGATACATCTTAAAGCTTGTGGAATGTACATGCAGTATACACATGCATATTGAGATTAGTGTAACGCTGCAGTGCTCCTTAAATGCTCATATGTGTTCACATCGGTGCTCACACAAAAAGGGTACAGTTATGAAATTTGGAGCACGTCCAATCATAGAAATCTCGGGGGTGGCAGAACCCAAGAAAAAGGACCAAACCTGGCCAACCACTCTCTCTGAATTACAATGAGTCTATCAGGAGAGACAGGAGGTTCTGGGGTAAACACCTCTTTGCACAGCCAGTTCCTACTTAAACCTATTAACACACTAAGTAACATGCACTAATTATGGAAAGGTTTATTCATATTACAAACTTTTTTTCTGAACTCAGTATCCTCCTCCCTCTATCTCTCCCTTTCTTGCTCTCTCTTTCTCATACACACATCTGTACCACTGACATAGGAGAAAACAATAGTGTAGTTTTCTGTTATGCTGGTGGCTTCTGTCAAACACATGAACAGAGACAGATCGTCCTGTCAGCAGCAAACTAGGCCATGGCATTGTGACATATGTGCAAAGCGGCAGAGATGATGGGGAAAAGAAGGGGTTGTTGAGACAAAATAGAAGAGAGAGGAAGCTACGAAGTAAATGAGGAAGAAGAGAAGGCATTGAAAAAATCAAGCTGGAGAAGTGTGAAGTACATGAGGAGCGGAAAAACAATAATTGCATTTATACTGTAGTTGTCAACCAGTTAACTGAAAATTTGGAAGTCAGTTGTATTTTCTGAAAAATGGGATGTGCGGCTATGGAGTGTCTCAGCGGTCTGATCCTAGACCTATTTTATTTTCCATCCACTGTTGTCTATTAACCTGACTTCTTATCATTTTTATATAGATGGTACTCAGCCCTACTTGCCTGTGAAAGGTGATGATCTTAATAGCTTGACCGACATACAGTATATGGCGGCCTGAAAGCCATGACATGCTGAGTGTCACAACATTTTCTAAAACTGAATGAGGACAAAACAAAGGTCCTCAATATTAGCCTCAATAGTGCACCCAACAGGTAAGACTTTTCAGGCCTTAAACTCAGATAACTGGCCCCGAAGGCAGCTCTGGGATGGGCAGCACAGCGGCACGGTGGTTAGCTCTGTCACGTTACATCAAGAAGGTTTGTGCCCGGGCCGACCCGGGACTTTTCTGTGTGGAGTTTGCATGTTCTCTCTGTGCCTGCGTGGGTTCTCTCCGGGTACTCCAGCTTCCTTCCACAGTTCAAAGACATGAAGCTTGGGTTGACTGCCGACTCTAAATTACCCGTAGGAGTGAGTGTGTGTGGTCGTAAATGTCGGCTCAGTGAGAAACTGATTACCTGTCCAGGGTGTACCCCACCTCTCACCCAATGTCAGCTGGGATTGGCTCCAGCCTCCCCTATCTTATACAGGAATAAGCAGTATAGATGATGGATGGATGGATGGATGACAGGTCTGGGACCTTTGACCACAAATAGCAAACAAAACACTAGAAATCTAGGTTTATATGCAATACATACAGTATATACACTTCTACCTCTGAGTCCATTGACTGCATCCGGATTCTAATGACAAAAACGTAAGAGCTTGAAGAGGCAATGCTCAGGGAAAGGGAAGTAAAGCAATTACAGTGAAGAACAGATATGAGTGTATAAGTTTCACTCAAGCAGATGAGTTAGAATAAGTTGAAGGACAGTACACACTGAAAACCCTTAATTTTACCAGTGACAGTATTACACATCATCTCATACTGACCTAATTTTCTGGCTGTACTTTATGGACGCAAGTGGGCATGTATCCATTCACACTGAACTGAAGAAGGACTTTGGGTAATACTTTTCGATAACAGGAACCTGAATGTTGAATGGTCCCTCATCTTCCTTCAAAAATAGCCCTGTGTGCCGCTTTGATTACAGGACATCAGTGGACTGGAAGTGATTGGGTCTGGCAAGCCATTCACTTGTGTCACAGTGAGCCGCAGCCCCATACTGGAGAAGGAGGAAGAGGAGAATGAACAAGAGGAGATGACAGAGAACCTGTAAGAAAGAACTATCTTTTTTGTGTTACTGACATATTGGATATTTTTCCAGACGTAGTGACCAAACTTCAACTTTTTAGAGCATGAATACAACAGGCTACTGCTATAGTTCACAGCATGAGACTGAAAACACACTGAATAGGTGTGATCATAAATAGCAGCAAGTCATTATTTTCATCATTTATTTCTATTACCATTAAATGTTTAAAAACAACAGGTTGATGTAATACTTTACTGTAATCTGTAAACTGTTTTAAAAGGTTATTAAGGAAATCACACATTCACGGCAATAGTTAAGTCAGGAAATGCCATCTGACCACACTGTTTTTACCAGACATTTGTTGCTGCCAAACATATTATTCAAACTGTAATGTAAGTAATGGAATCACATATAGACTTTCTGGATCGCTCACTTGATGAAAACACGACTGGGCTACTTTCTTTACATGCTGCTTCAGGCTTATGACACAGTCCAAGAGGACTCTAAACAGGTACAAAATGACTTTTACACTGTAAGTTGGTCAATCCCCACATTTGGAATGCAGTTACAGTAACAGGTAACTGACTCATTCACTGATTCCCTCCTCGTTGTCTTCCTCAGTGATCCATCGG